TCATGTGACAAATTCGAATTTATCACTTATATTGTGACAAATATATGTGATAAACTGTCAGATTGGCACAGATCACTCCTGGATTCAATCAGAATTACGGATTCAAATCAGATTCAGATCAATCCCAGATTAACTGGGATTTTTAATCCATTTTCGAACACTACTTGAAACCAAAGGTGTGACTATAAAGAAGTTAGACTGTATTTTTTGATTTAAATTTTTGAAAACAAACTGAACAAGAGACCAAAAATATAAAAATGTGAATAATAAGCTCATGATTAAAGAACAATTTCTGTTCTTTTTATTAACAAACTAATAAACACATTTCTTTTATACAGAAATTTACACAAATCATCTTAAAATTATTTAGGGTATAGTTTTAAATTATTACAGTATAATCAAGTAATTGTTTTGTACATTTAACCAATTGAATATAGGAAAATATAAGGTTCAAATTAAAATTTGGTGTCTCTTGCTAAGACCCAATGCGTTCAATCCGCCCATATGTGGAACATCAACTCCGTTTGATCCAAACGTTAATGTGAAAAATATGTATCTAAGGCCATGCAAAATTAATTAATTGGTTTTCATAACCCGGCCGGGTCAAAATTTGAAAACTTGTAAAAAATTTTATATGTTTTAATAACCGGTGGGTTTTTAAAGAAAAAATTTTATATATGAAATTAAACAAAAAAAAAAAAGCCGGCCGATCTGTTTAAAAGTTTCATGTTATGAAAACTAAGATATTAAATTTGTGTGGCCTAAGGAAGTTTTTGTTTTGAAATAAAAATTTTTTGTTCCGGGTCAAAAATTCTATTGTAAACCAATAAAAATCAATATTTAATAGAAATAAAAATAAAATTAATAATATACAAATCAAATAAACCAAGATAAAAGAGAATTAAAAAATAATAATAAACCAAGATAACTCAGCCTACATTGTTAATTCCTGACCGTAAGTAACACTTGCCAAACAACCAATATAATCCATGTTAATATAACCACGAAAATTACTGCCTATAAATCAAGTAGGTAACTTATATAATGGATTTAAAGAGAAAAATTTTATAATTTTTAATAATTTTTATACTTTGCTCATTAAACATCCATCTAAGTACCATGGAATAGCCCTTCGTTCAGGACGATTTATAGATGACACTACTGTAAGAGAGACATCGTCTGAATTAGAAATTTCACTGTTCCGAGGAATGAGTTGGTACTCCATTTTATTATTATAAATATATTAAAAAAAAGTTTGTCTTTTATAAGGTACACCCGAAATTTTTGTTACTTTATATATTCAACTGCATGATTATTTGTGTTACGGTTACTTTAGCATTATCGTTATTGATAAAAATTTTTAATCAATCTTAATCATAATTATGTAAATTTTAAAAACTTTTGCTCTTGAAATAATAAACACCATTTAGATTCACCACTTCTCGTGAGTATTTCTTTGGATTCAGATGAAAAGTATTTGTCTTTTATTTATTTGGCAGTACTTTGATACCAAAAATGTTACTCTTTAATAGTACGATGTCTGCCCCTATTCCCGCATGCTATTCAGATATTGGCAAATCTGCCAGTGATCTGTTAGGCAAAGACTATCCGGTCGGTGTCTTCAAACTTGAGACTAAAAACACAGCTCCTAACGGTGTAGTAAGTTCAATAAAATAGCAAATCATTTTTGGCTTATTATAGATTGCCATAACTCCATATATGTTTGATGCTTTTTTTTTGCTTAGTCTTTTACCCTCTCCGGACAAAAAAACACAAAAAGTGGTGACATAAATGGTGAATTTAAAAGCAAGTATCATTATCCTAAGAAGGGTATTACACTTACAGAAACTTGGACAACAAACAACCATTTAAGTACCCAAGTAGAACTAGAAAATAGCCTTGCAAAAGGTTTAAAATTGGACATGACTGCATATATCCAGCCACTTCATGGAAATAAGAACGTCAAGGGTGGCTTAATTTTCAAACAACCGGGTTTTCACACAAAGCTCTATGTTGATGTTCTTAAGGGACCTACTTTTCAAGGAGATGTTGTAATTGGTCACGAAGGATTCCTTATGGGTGGCGAAGCATGTTACGATGTTACGGATGGCAAAGTTACTCGCTACGGTGTTTCTGCGGGCTATACAGCTCCTGAATACAATGTTACTCTCAAAGCAACCAATTCCATGTCTGCTTATACCCTTCTATATTATCATCGTGTACATCCTGATATTGAAGCTGGTGCAAAAGCTCATTGGGATACCACTTCAAACAGTGATAGTGTTAATATGGAAATTGGAGCTAAATATTTTTTAGATCGCGACGCATTTGTAAAAGTATGTGACCGGTTCATTATTTGTTGTGGCGCTTATGCTGAGATCCGGAGTCCCTATTTAAATCTATAATACTCTTTATTAATAATACTAACCCTAAACCCCGTGAAAAAAAAGCCGACGAAAAAAGCTTCCAAAAATTTTATAAAATAAGACAAATTCTCAGCATAAGCCAATCTTAGCATAGGTTGCCACATTCACTATTAGCGCTTGTATAGAGAAATTCATTCTGAATTACTAATCAAATTTGTAGGCTAAAATTGATAATAATGGTCGTTTGGGTCTTGGATACACACAAGCACTCCGTCCGGGCGTTAAGATCTCTCTTGGTGGCAGCATTGATACATCCAAATTGGGTGAAAATAATCATCGATTTGGAGTCTCTCTTAATTTAGAATCCTAATACTCGATTCAAGATTGATTTATATATAGATCTGGTTTTGGATAGTAAATGTTTGTGGTTTTTTTCCTTTACACTTGCATCAACATTAAATAATGCGGTCAAACCATGTATTCTTAATGGAATTAATAAAAGTGTCCCACATATACAAATGCATAAATATACCTATCTAAACATTCAAAAATTTGAGATTTTAGAGATCATAGAAATAATTATTAAGTCATTAAGCCATATTTAAATGACGAACTAAGATCACTAGATATCATCTGGTGGACCCACGTACGTACGTACTTTGACTGTTATACGCGTGACATGTTTATTAAATTCTGATCGGATATTCATTGAGATATACAATAACTAATAAAATTCAGGCTCTGGACTTCGACGTGATAACATGTACCTGGATTTGTATTTTTTTTATTCCAAAATTTACTTATAGTCTAACCTCGGTATAGTCACTCTTGATATAATCACCAATTATAAAAAAATCCTATTTTTATTTACCAATCCTATTTTTATTTACCAATCACTATAAAGCATAAGAAATTAACCACTGTATAGGCACTATCACTTTAGTCACATTGAATTTTGGTTACCAACCTGGTGGTTATATCGAGGTGATAATGTATTTGTAATTGGAAGAGTATACCAAAATCAATCATTTAAATTTATTGGAAAAATGTATACAATTATATGAAAAAACTATGAAATTCATACCTATTGTCATTTATTTTCTTTTCAAAGTATTCTGTTGTTAGATTATGCTGGCAGCACGTTCGTTCAATCAAATTTAATGTCCCCTACGTTTTCTTTTTCTGTTGTAAGAAGCCACCGAAGAATCTGAACTGTCACTTCGTGACGAAGAATCTGACGATTCGGAAGAACTCGAATTTGATCCACTATCGCTGTCTGAACCTGAACTAAGACTTGATGATTCAGTCGAAGAACTATCTCCGCTCTCACTTGCGGAATCGGATGACGAAGACGACGAAGATCTTGATAATTAGTATAGATAAAATAACACGATATGATTAGATAAGAACTTTAGTATTAAATGTCGCGGCTGAAGCTGGAAATGGCTGAAGCTGGAAATTAGGACCTCGATTTGAAAATATAAACCCTACTAAAATCCATTTATACAATTTTATTATCAACACTATCCCTAAATCCTAAGCTAACTATAGAAAACAAGCTAAAAAAATGCATCCCAAAAAATTTTGAAAATTTCATATTAAAATATTTAAAATTTCCAACTTCAGCCGTTTCCAGCTTCAGCCACGACATTAAATAATAATATATGCACTCACAAATCCTATCAATTCAGAGGTGAAAGCAAATTACGAATCGACAAGTGACCGGACGTAATTTAATCCCTATTATTATTCAAGTTATTTGACAGGACTAGTGAATGTTCGATAATAGGAAATTGATTCATCTTACTCTGTTTTTCGTTTTTTTCTTTTACTTTCTTTTACGTCATCTGATTTCTCCAATTTTTCCGGTACATCCTTTCTGTTAAAACGATGTGCATATTAAAAATACAGATCGCCGGTTATTTGGCACGATTGTGCACTTACTTTATTCCCAATTCGTCCGGAAGTTCAACAGATATTGGTTTTAGCGGTTTTGTAAGTTGTTGAGTTCTGGTCGGACGAGGTTTGTACACTCGTTCATTCTTGCATTCATAGGTCTGCATCACACAAAGGGAATGTGAAGCTTGTAAACGCTGTGAACGAGATTAATACATATATCACTTTAATGCTGCACTTGACTTTACCCAATGACCGTATTCAAGGCATTTTTGACATTGAGTTTTAGGTGAAGCTTTGGTGCTCGAGGTCGGGTACCTAAGTACAAAAAGGAACGTGATCACGTCTTTCTAACTATTCGCCTTAAGCAATTTCAACCTTAATTACAAACTTACCTGCGTCCTGGGAAGCTTGCTTTATTCATTTTGATAGTCTGAGTAAAAGAGCGGTCGTAGCATGATTAAAAATCCATTTGATTGGCCAAAAGTCAGATCATTTTTAATTGGTTAAAATTAAAATTAATTTTTAATTGGTTTAAAACTTTTTTTTAATGTAAATTAATTGCCTAGGTTTTTTATAATAAATTTAATGTCGCGGCTGATGCTGGAAATGGCTGAAGCTGGAAATCAGGGGCCCCGATTAACTCTGTCAAAATTCACTTATACTCTTTCATTATCAAAACTAACCCTAAATCCTAACCTAACCATGAAAAATAGCTAAAAAAATGCGCCCCAAAAAAATTTGAAAAATTCATATTAAAATATTTAAAATTACCAGCTTCAGCCGTTTCCAGCATCAGCCGCGACATTTAATGTACTATATATATACTGAAATGTATGTAAATCATCTTAAAAAAAAAAAAGAAATACGTGGGTTGAGGTGTTAAATATATGGGGTTGAGTCAATAGAAATCAAGCAAATTTTTTCTAAGTAAATTTTTTTAAAACTTTAAACAATAATAA